AGGCCACAAACATAGACAGATTTTGTTGTTTAGTCGTTTCTGTCATGTCCAACTCTTCATGACTCCATTTTGGGGTTTTCTTGGCAAAAAGACCAGTTTGGTTTGCCATTTCCTTCTCTAGTTCGTTTTACAAATAAGGAATTGAGCCAAACAGGGTAAGTGACTTGCCCTGGGTCACAGAGCTAATAAGTGTCTGAAGCCAGATTTGAACTCATAAAGATGAGACTTCCTGATTCTAAGCCCAATGGTCTATCCACTGTCCCACCTAGCTACCCAGATATAAATTAACTATTTCAATATAATTGTTTCCACTGTGATCCTATGTATGTCTTATTTTATGTAATTAAAAACATTATTCTGAAAAAGGACTCCATGGATTTCACTATGGAGTGTAGGGCATATGGGTGCATATGGGCACGCGGGCGCACATGCACACATACACATACATTAAGAATTTCTACCTACTGTTACTATTATCCTGATTTTACAAATGAAGAAACTAAAGGTCTGATAAGGGTCAGTGATTTGCCCATTGTCACTAAGACAAAAGTATGAAAGGCAGAATATGAATCCAGGTTTTACTGATTCTAGGTCCAATGCTCTACCTACCACACGAATTTTATGCCTTCAGAGAAGAGGTGTGGATTCAAGTGTATAACAAGAGGCACAATGAAGTGCCAAGGCTCCCTCTAGCAATGATCAACTTCCTAAACAGAATGGCCATTTTGCAATAGCTTTGTCATGGGGGTTATTTATGGAGAAAGTTTACAAATAATAACAAGCATAAATAAATTTCAAATTTGCAAGAAGAGGAACCGTCTCAGTTCAGGAAAAGGTCAGAGATCAAAATCTTCCTGTGAATAAAACTAGTTAACTATAATGACCATCAAAACAGTCAAAAAAATCTTGCAATCCAATGTTGTATTGGGGTCTGGCATCAAAGCCAGGAAAATCTGGCTTCAAATGCTGTCTACAAGGCTGTGTGAACCTGGGCAAGTCACTTAACCCATTAGTTCACTCTAAGAAAGTCAATAAATGACACTGTAATTATGGTGCCCACCTACTTTGGATGAAGTAATTTTGTCAATTCTGGGAGTTTCTTGTACCAATGAAATCCCTTGCCCAGTCTCTATTCCCTATCAAAAATTTAGCAAAATTTAGGCTCATCTGTGAGCCTACAAGCTTAAAAGTCCACAAAATAGCATATTAGACAGGCTAAGAAAGAACAAATTAGTATATGCTTTGGCTATGTTAACCTTTATTTACAAGTGAATAATTTATTTTTTCATGGAATGCTGTCCTCATTAAAGGCTCACCAACAATATACTTTGCATCTGACAAAATGACAGACTGGGCTTTTATTTACACTCTTTGTTTTAGGGTTTAAAACCTTTTTGATTCCATAAGAACTCCTCTTAATGAAGAGAGTCAAATAAATACAGCTCTCCTGTCTGGTGGCCACTAACTCAGTATTTACTATGTTATAAATGCCACAGTATGGAGCTGTCCCTGAGTCCTTGAAGGTAATGATGCCAGGGCAGCTCAAGCTCTGGCAGGGAAGGCTTCAGATAAAGTCCTGGTTTTAGATCAAACATCTATCTGAGAGCTGATTGGTATGTGGGCCACAGGACAATGAATATTTTGGTCACAGCAAGTCCTGAAGACCATTTAAGTTATTAAAGCCTAGATGCTAGGCTAGAGGTAATATATTGATGAACATCAGTCATCAGACTTTTGCCATGTGAAGGGGAACAATATGGAGCATAGCTTAGGTGAAAACATTCATTACAGATAATTCCCCCTTGAGATCAGGGAATTTTAGGACTAGAAGGGACCTTCAAAGTCATCTACTCTATTCACCACTCCATGCCACCATTCAGGCTCTGTAACAGATCATCATATTGCATAATATGGCCAGAAAAAATGGATTTGGTGGTGTTTGAGGTATCTGCTCGGTAATGGCAGAGAGATTACTGCATATTTATCTTTCTGCCTTGCTCTTTTACAGCTGCAAGTTGCTATCATATACTTGTTTAAGACTCATTGAGAGTCCATAATGTTCCAGGCACCGTGAGACTAGATGGATAAACATGCAGTCCTTCCTTGACTCTCCCACAGTGTCTCAGAGAAAGCAGAGACCCATTCTCAGGAAGAATGAGCATGGAAGCACCTTGTCTCCCACCAATGATCAGATTAGAAAAGCAATGTCTTCTTGTTGTGTTCATCTGAAATTCCAAAGGTGAAGTCAAATACATTTCCATGCATATTTATACGTTGATCATGCAAGCAAGGTTTTAACTTTTGCATTTTTAATGAGCTGGTAGTAAGGCAAATAAATTATAAAAAGAATGAAACCCAAGGGCAAAGAAAATAATTTTCAACTTTTTTTAAATTAGGGAATATGGATTCTTGAGGGAGGATCCAAAAGCTTATACAGTATTATTAAAGCTGAAACATCCACCATAAGACTGCTGCCATTAGTAGATTTGTGACTAATTCGGCTTCCTCTCCCATGATTCCACCACACTAGAGGGGGCTGTTGGCTTGAGCTTTCCTCCATTAGCATTTGCAGTCATGGGGGGGGGGAGCAATAGCTCTCATGTGACTTGCATTTCATTAAGGGCCCAAAATGTATTTAGGATTCATACTGTGTAAAAAACTCCTCCTATGAATAAATCACATTTTTCTTTGGAAGCCTCATGGGGCTTTGTGGTCAAAGAGATATTAAGTGTAGCTTAAACTGTTTTTCTCCTATTAGAGCCACAGAAGCCCAGAGAATTTGGATTAAGCCATCTGACTATGTCCTAGACCAGAAACGTTTATATTTTTCATTTGGAAATGTTAAATTTGATTTGTCTTTATTCTATCCCCATGTTCCCAGACCTACTGGATTTTATTATCTCTTGTGCTTTGAAGACAGAGGAGAATATTTTCTTAATGGATTTGTTGGCTATTTGAGTCAATATTAGTAGGTGGAGAATGATAAACAGGTATCTGAATTTTAATGCAAAGACACAAATTTCCCAATATAGGGCAGCAACAGCATTAGTATGTTGCTGCAGACTAGGGCTGACCAGGCCAGTGTTCTGCTCATTTTGGTTTGAGATGGGAATGAAATGAGACAGTAATAGTGAATTTAACAATGAGTAAAAGGAGATTCACTTAGCCATAATATTCAGAAAGATACTCAACAAGATATTCAGCAGAGGTACCTTGATGACTTAGCCGAGCATAGTTCTCCTGACTCAAATGTTGCCCGTGGTGGTCCACTATTCAAGCACTGGAGAGGTCACGACTTTTTATACTCAGGTGACCCAAAAGCAACATCAGTTGTCTAAGCCTTTAGTTCTCTATGCCAAATAGACTTTGAAGATGGTTTCAATACTTTTAAGGAAAAGAACTAGTCCAGCTTTCATGGTAGCTATTCCTCCTTCTACTCATATGTATAATTACAGATATACAATAGAGCTATATGGAATGAGAAATTGACCCATAGAGAATTTTTAAAGCAGGTTTCTTTTCATCTTTATCACCTCTATCACCCAGCAGGGCTCACTCAATGAATCTCAGAATTTAAGAACTGGAAGAGACGCCAGCAGTGATATGATCCATCCTATTCATGAAAGGAATCCCCATTAGACTACACCTGTCAAAGTAGTCAAAATAGACTTTGCTTGAAAATATTGAAGGGCTGGAAGCCCACAATTTCTCAAGCTATCTCATTTCCCTTTTAGAGGACTGTAATTGTTAAGTTGCTATTGTTCGTTTGTTTTCTGACATAATGCCTCAAATGGTTTCTTTGTGACTGCACCTTATTGCTCCTGGTTCTGACTTCTGGGGCCTAACAGAACAAATCTAATCCCTTCTCCACAGGACAACCCTTCAAATACTCGAAGGGACCTATTACTTTGCCCTAGAATCTTCTCTTCTCCAGACTAAACTTGCCCAATTGCTTTAACTGATCCTTGTGACAAAGATGGATATGCAATAATTGGAAAAGATTTATTATTTCTTTTCATATAGAAATGGGAAGTTTCTGTTAAATCCCAAGACCTATTGTTTCAATGAATTTGGTCTTTGTAGATTATGTTGCTGTTCATACCTAACTTCTGCTAGGTATGGTATGCTAGGTATGCATGGTACCAATCTAACATTCATTTCACAGGCTAATTGAGAAAAGGAAAAGTCTCATGACCCAAGAAAGAAACTTATAAGTGGAAAACTAAGAGCCTTGGCCCATAATTTAGCTTTTTAATAACTCAAACAATAAACATTAAGTACCTATATGTGCTAGACACTAGGCTAAGCACTAGATTTATGACTGATATATAACACTTTAAGGTAGAAAATGCTTCATATAACATTTTATGCAACAAACTGTGTGAGAAGGTCCTGTAGGTTTTATTATTCCTGTTTTACAGATAAGTAGACTGAGGTTCTGAGAAATGCTGTGATTTGCCCATGGTTATATACTTAGCAGGTGTAGGAGGTGGGATTTAATAAAGTAGCTTAGATATGGAGATGGAAATGACCTTAGAGGTCATCTTGTCCAGCCCCCTTCATTTTTGCAGATGAGAAGACTGAGGGTGGAAGAGGTTAGTGACTTGCCTGAGGACATACAGCCAGAGAGTAGCAAAGCCAAGATTTGAACCCTCCACTCTGGGTTCATTCTGCTACACTATACTAACTCCTGAACCAAGTTTTCCTGTCTTCCAGGCTAAGACTCTAGCCACTCTTCAGGTATCAGGCAGCCATTCTTTCTTTTCCTCAAATCCAACACACCTTCTTCCATCACCAGGACTCTACATAGGTTGTCCTCCCATGCCTGGAATGTGTTCCCTCCTCCTCTCTATCTCTCTTAGAATCTCCAGGTTCCTTCAGGACATAGCACAAACACCACCTCTTTACATAAGCCCTTTCTGATTCCTCTGCTTCTAGTGTCGTCCTTCCAAATTTTTTATGTATTTATTTCATATTGATTATTTCACATGTATGTATTTATTTCATATAGATCTTCATATGTACATGTCTTCCTGGGAAAACTGTAATCTCTTTGAGGGAAAACACTTCGGCTTTTTTCTTTGTATTCTCCAGTGGCTGCAAAAAATATATACATGATTTATTATTAGAAGTAGTAAAGAAGTCCTCATTCAGAAATTAACCATTTTAATAGTCAGTCTTGACTCTGTACTAAAAAATAAAGGAAGGAGAGAAACAGTGGAGAAAAAGTTCCTTTTAGGGATGATAGAATAGGTCCTGAGTTTTTCCTTCATTGGCTTTTACCTTTCGTGCCTCCTGAACAATACTTACTGCGACCCTGGAAAGGGTACCTTGGTTCATTCATTCATTCTGCCCTGTGCTTGCTCCCACAGGGCTGTTGTACGTTGGCTTCAGTGCCTGCATGTTCGGCCTGTACAGTTTCATGCCAGTAGTCATAAAGAAAACCAGTGCAACATCTGTCAACCTCAACCTCCTCACTGCAGACCTGTACAGCCTGTTCTGTGGATTGTTTCTCTTCCACTACAAGGTGAGTGGAGCTAGGAACCTTGGGAAGAAGAACTCTGTTGGGCAGATTGATAACTGATGGGAATGAAGCCATCCAGGGAATTTTCTATCACCTCAGTGGTGGATCGCCATACGTGTGATTATGTTTCCTGGAACTTTTGTCCCAAATTATATACCTCTGCCTTTTTAGGCTCTATGAGGCCACCAAGAAAGCTCATCTAGATTTTTGGATGCATAATGATCTACAACTTCCCACCATTTGCTACTTATTAATTGCCAGGGGTGACTTGTATCAGAAGGCAAGAGTATAATCTTCCTTCCCTCTCTCAAATTATTTTGATATATCCATGAATCTTGATTTCATCAGTGTGAGATGCCTTCCACTGCACATATAGTGTCCCCATATATATCTTTTCATATTATATAATTCCTTTTTATGTTTTCCCACTGTCATTCACAGGGGGGCCACGCAAAGCTCTTCTCTCGGTTTCTGAATGTGTCATCTGGAGATGGGTACCCTAAAGGAGCCCTTCTTTTCAGTGTTTTAGTATCCAGGGGTACCAGTAAAGCACCTGAGATTTCATAGGATCTGGAGTTAGAAAGAACCTTAGAGACCATAGATTCATATACTTACAGCTAGGTGATTTAACTGAGGTTAAGGGATTTTTTTCAGGTTCATGCTGGAGGTAAGAAGGGCACCCAAAGTGTTCTGAATTCTAAAGCCAATTTCTAAATTCTTTCTAAAGCTAACATTTACATATTTTGTATAGAGCTCTAAGACTTTCAGAGAACTTTACAAATTTCTCTCAATACTCACAATAACCCTTTCAGACAGGTGCTATTATTATCCTCTTTTTACAAACTGAGGCAGACAGAGGTTAAGTGACTTGCCCAGCATCACACAACTAGTAAATGTCTGAGGCCAAATTTGAACTCGTGTCTTCCAGACTCCAGGTCCTCAAAAGTAACACTGTCCTCATGACTTAGTTTTATAAAGTGTTCTAGACACATTATAGACAGGTGCAGAGGGTATTTTGTGTGTTTCTGAGACAATCTTTCATTTCATATTGACATTTGATCATTTTTTCCCAGTACATTCCAGGGAAATTGAATTCAAGCGTATCATATACCATGCTTGCTAATAGTATTTTATTGAAAATGTATTCCTGATTTGGAATGTGACCCCCAAATGACTAGAGTCAGTGAGTAAGCATTAATTAAGCACCTGCTATGTGTCAGGTACTGTGCTAAGTATTGAGGATACAATGAAAGACAAACTATATAGTACTTGGCCTCAAATAGCTCACAATTTAAAGGGAGAGACAACATGCAAAAAACTATATGCAAACAAGGTATATATACAGGACAAATAGGAAATAAATGCCAGAGGGAAGACACTATAATTAAGAGGGATTGGGAAAGAATTTCTACAGAAGGTGGGATTTTAGCTGAGACTTGATAGATGCCAGGAAAAAAAGGCCAGAGATAGAATATCATATTCATGGAAGAGCAAGAGGGCTAATATCCATGCATTAAAGAGTATGTGGAGGAAAAAATAAGGTGTAAGAAGTGTGGAAAGGTATTGCGGGGATGGGCAGGGGTAAGTTATAAGGGCTTTACATACCAAAGGAAGAATTTTAAATTTTATGCTGGAGGTGATAGGGAGCCATTGACATCTATTGAGTATGTGGGTAACATGGTCAGACTGGTGATTTAGGCAAGTCACTTGGGTGGCTGAGTGGAGGAAGGAGGAAGAAGAGTCTTGTAGCGGGCTGACCCACCAACAGGCTATTGCAATAGTCCAGACTGAGGTGATGACAGTGTGCACTAGGGTGATGGCAGTATCAGAGGAGAAGAAGGGGGCGTATTCAAGAGATGTTGCAATGGTGAAATTGACAGGCCTCAACTACTAATGGGATAGAGAGAGTGAGAGCTAGTGAGGAGGCAAGGATGACACCTAGGTTGTAAGCCTGAGGAACTGGGAGGATGATGGCAGGGATTGGGGAGAAGAGGAAGATTGTGAACCAGGTATGGAATGCATTGAGGAAGCAAGAAGAATGCCCTGAACACCTGTGGACAGCAGCAGGACTGGAGGAACATATTAGTCCAAGAGCTGCACCAGAGAATGATATATGTCAAGTGTTATTAGTATTACTATTAGCCAAAAATTGAACCTAAATGCCATGGAAAGAACAGTGGGTTTGAAATCAAAGGATCTAGGTTCAAATCCTGGACCTGTGTGTGGCCATGGACAACCAGGGGTGGGGAACCTGTAGCCTCAAGGCCACGTGTGACCCTCTAGTTCCTCAAGTATGGCCCTTTGACTGAATCCAAACTTCACAGAACAAATCCTTTTAGTAAAGGGATTTGTTCTGTGAAGTTTGGATTCAGTCAATGGGCCATGCATGAGGTCCTAGGGGACCATATGTGGCCTCGAGACCACAGATTCCTCACCCCTGGACAAGTCATTTAATCTCTATGACTCTCAGTTTTCTCATCTGTAAAATGAGAAGATTGCCCTCGCTCATCTCTAAGGGCTTTTCCAACTCTTAATCTATGATCTTGTGACAGGAGTATAACTTTTCCCTTAGCATCTTAATGCTGGAAGGGAGCTTAGAGATCAATAGCGGCAACTGGTAGCACAGCGGATGACATACTGAACCTAGATTCCAGAAGATCAGAGTTCAAATTTGACCTCAGACATTTACTAGTTGTGTGACGCTGAGCAAGTCACTTAACCTCCGTCTGCCTTAGTTTCCTCATTTCTAAAAAGAGGATAATAATAGCACCTGCCCGAAAGGGTTATTGCGAGTATTGAAAGAGATGTTTGTAAAGTGCTCTGCAAGTCTTAGAGCTCTATTTAAAATGCCAGCTGTTCTTATTGTTACACAAAGTACAGCCCCCCTATCTTTCCTGAGTTACTACATTCACAGTCCTCCTCACTGCATGTAATTATCTAAAGGATGCTGGATTTGAATTTTAGAAGACCTGACTTTGAATCCTGGCCCTGATACTTTTAATATTCATGTAAACTTGTTTAGTCATTTTTCAGTTGTGTCTGACTCTTTGCAACCCCATATGATGTTTTCTTGGCAAAGATACTGGAGTGCCTTTTTTTTTTGCCATTTTTCTTTCTCCAACTCATTTTACAGATGAGGAAACCAAGGCAAGCAGGGCTAAGTGACTTGCCAAGGGTCATACAGCTAAGACTGTCTGAGGTTTGATTTGAACTTGGGAAGGTGAGCCTTCCTGACTCCAGGCCCAGCACTCTATCCATATCATATAATCTCTCTGGGCCTCAATGTCCTCATCTGTAAAAATGAGGAGAGTTAGATTACGTGTCATCAAGGTTCTTCCAACTCAGTGATTACTTAGGATTTGATAAACTGTCTTGTACCGTTATCTCAACATTTTCTGTAGAGGCAGCTAGGTGACAGTAGATAGTGCAAGGAAAATGAGAGTTCAAATGTGACCTCAGACACTTTCTAGCTGTGTGACCTCGAGTAAGTCACTTAACCTCTGTCTGCCTCAGTTTCCTCAACTGCAAAATGGAGATCATATAGTAACTCCCAGGGTTGTGAGGAGAATCAAATGAGAAAATACCTGTTAAGCACTTAGCACAGTGCCTGGCACATAGTAGGAGTTTAATAAAAGTTTTTCCTTCCTTCTATAGATTCATCTTACCTATCTCTGATAAAACAAGTTAATGTCTGTTTAGTTTTCTATTTTTTTTGTGTTTTATTTTTAAAAATCTATCTCATATCTTATAACTACTTCTGAAGGAACAGACCAGAGGGATTGATGTCTCTATTCAAACAGTAAGTTTTAAAAATTCTTGAAGGTATGGGATCTTAGATTTAGAGCTGGAAAAGACCTGAGAGGCCATCTAATACAATTTCCTCATTTTACATATGAGGAAACTGAGGCCATTCGTGGTTAAGTGACTTGCCTGAGGTCATCCAAAGAGTACATGGAACAGTTAGGGTTTGAACCTAGACTTCTCGTTCCCAATGTAGCATAATTTCTACTGTACACACTGCCCCTCAAGTCAGAGGAGAGGGAAGTCTTATTTTAGTCCTCTGGTAGAGAGAGAGAGTAGTAGAATAGCAAAGACATAAAACACTGAGCTGCCACTACATGTCACAGAGCTATCCTGTTGGAGTAATGGTTTGATTAGGGATAAATCTCCCCCTAACAGTATTCCATTTTGGTAAAATTATATCAGTGATTCTCAAATTTTCTGGCCTCCCTTCAACACTATTAAATCTGTACGGGTTATATAAAATCTTGGTTATTATTAATTCATTATGAAAAGTTATTATTATTAAAATAATTTTGATCTTGGGAGCCCTCTCAAAAGGGCATTTGGGACCCCCAAGAATCTACAGGTCACTTTGAGAACCACTGTATTATAGCATTTGCCCTGCAATATTTATATGCTGCCACCAGGTGGTAGGAGAGAATCACAGTCATCCAGTCCTTATGGAAGAGCGTTCTAGACAAGTCAATAAATTTACCCATTAATTTTTTATAATGGATTTGTAATCAATAAAAATTACTTAAAATTAATTGGTAAACAGTACAACTTATGA